AGAATAAAATAATTGGTTGTTTCAGCACATGGAAAAACATCGGCTTCAAAAAACAAACAGGAAAAAAATGGCTTTGGATGATCTAAGGCTAACCATAATACGAGGACTCACAGGAAAGTAGCTGAAAGGATGATTGCTTCCCAAGTATGAAACAAGTATTATTGCTCGTAGCTTTTGGAAAACCATTTCAGAATGTCAAAATTATTAAAATGCTGTTCTGCTGTAGACAGAACATCGCAACAACTTCATTAATCAAAACAAGGAGATGACAGAAAGAATTAGTAAACAGACAAAAGCCTTTTTAGATCTTGTTCATAGTAAAACTTGGAATGTAAATCTGAGATCTTGTAGATATTAAATCTCAAGGAACTATTCAGAAGTCAATTATCTGCAAAGATGTCTACCATATAATTCATTCAGGACCCTATTTCACTTGCTAAAAGCAGATCTAAAATTATTCAAGGAAAGCATTTCCTGGACCTCTCAAGACTTGTGGCAACTCTTGAAGAGGAAACAATCTCCCAAAAGAGCAAGCTGAAGAATGTTAAGTAAAAGAAGTAGTAAATTTCAAGTATAGTTTGAACTGAGAAATAAAAGCATAAATAGACCATATGAGGAACTACCCTGCATATTAAATAAGCAACTAGCAGGATTTGAAATCAAATTAAATTTTTAGCTGCAGAGAAAGTAAAGCCCATCCAGTCCTGCCAATGCTAAATGACTAAGTGAAAGACACTGCTGCTCTTGGGTACCCACCCAGAATATGGCAATCTTGTGTATTTACTAAACATGTTGGTTCTTAGCTTTAATCATGAATTATTCATGTTTTGTTAATACTAGATTCCCTAGACTATCCATGTATAGCATGCATGATGATCCAATTTTCATTGAATTTAACAGAAAGACTTTCCTTATGACTATCAGAATGAGGCTTTAACAACAAAACACGCCTCTTTCCTAGTTGTTCCTCCCCACCTTTGTATGCAGAAAGCTGATTTTTTAACTTGGAGTACATATAGGAAAATGATAATCCAAAAGATAACGGAACAACAGACTGACTTGATTAGGAATGGATTAGAGAACACAATTAAACCAATGCATTGTATCACATAAAAACCTAGCCAAAAAGAAAAGAAAAATCTTACTAAGAAACTTCATGTTGCTTCCAGTACCTTTGGTACTGTTTTGGAACATCGTCTTATCTTTTTAAAGCAGGTTATAATTCAATTACCGTATTCTATTACCATTTTCTGCACCTCTAAAGAGACTATCTCCTTTGCAATAGCAATTTTACCATTATAATAATAATAAGAAATTTCAAACACTTCATTTCACAGAGTGCTTATACTACTGTTTCCTGATGTGTGTATTCTGGGTTATTCTTGTAGTTAAGAGAGCTTTCTGTGATGCTCAGAACTGAAGTGAAATAGGAAATCCATTAGAAAGATGATAGGTCTTATTTTGAGTCCTGATTCTGCAAACTATTCTGCATTTATAAAGTGTTAATCCTCATGCTGTTTAAATCTTTGTATGAGAAAAGTCTAATTTAGTTGGCAAATTATAAAAAGAACTGAAATTAATTTGCTGCTTGCCAGTTTCTCATCAGTGTTCTAAAAGCCCCAGTGAAATTAATATATTAAACACAGGAGCAGAAGAGGATATTGCACATTTAAACATCACAGATTAAGGCAAGATGTAGAGTGACGCTATCAAAATATTGATCTAAATACCTTAAAAGAAGAATCCTCCCCTATATCAAACAGCATAATAAAGCTATGGAACTATCCTGGCTATATAATCACCCTAAAAATAAGCTGGAGTCATTCAGTAACTCACTAGAACGCAAAGATCATTTCAAAGCATTACACAGAAAAAGAAAACAAAACACCTGCAGTATGAAATGCTTCTGACTCCAAATTTTAAAGCTGCATGTAGTTGTAGTTTAAGAAAAGAAATAGTTCCCTTTCATGCAGGCTTGTAGAACAATTGAGATGGTCACAAACCCCTTCAGAATGGCAGGTGATACACATTTCAAATAACCCAACCCTACTTCTATTTACCCTAAAGGTGTTTCTGAAGTAGAGCAAAAAAAGAGTAGGCAGTAAGAATGGCCAAGCAAGAGCACTCCAACAGTCACTCATGCTCAGGTTACAGACAGTAACTCATAAAGGCAAAGCAACCTGAGCTTCTGTCTGGTCTAACTCATTAGCAGAACGAAAGTGGTACAAGACGTTTGCAGGAGGAGTTTTGAGATGACCTGCAGCTTAAATGAGGTGAATGAGCCGATATGAGCCAGAGGCAAATAAAGAAAATGCTACATGCTGACACAAAAGCGAATAGATGTGAATCAGCCTAATTAGGCTAGAAATTATAAAGGAAGGTATGAAAGAATCTTCTAGCAGGTGGAGAGGAGGAAAACACAATGAATTTTAATACAAAGAGCAATCATTTTATCTGCAAGATTATAAAATATGGCTCCTTTGATAACAAGAGACAGAATAACATCTCAGGATGTCCCTTTCAATTGTATGCTTTGAGCAGTACGAAAAGCGCACAATTTGTCTCCAATAGAATTTTTTGTAACATTTCTTACCCACACATACAGTGAAGTAACTGACTATTACTGGGATGCGTTTAAAAAGTCCAGTTGGTGGAATACTGTGGAGAGGTTGACTTGATGAGAGTTAAAATTGGTTTAGGGAATACAGCTTTTAAGTAGATGATAGATTGTCTGGTATCCAAGTACTCCTTCGGGCCTTCCCCCATATTATCTTTACGTAGTAGAATAGTACTGCCCCCTAAACTTGGTGGCAAGAGCTTTTTACCTTCATAACACTACATAGCAGAGTTAGCAAACCCTGTATAACTGGTTTTAAAATGCCCCTTCCACATAGGAATCGAACCCCTTTCCTCATCATGGATTATTTACTACTTGGTCTTCCAGATATCAAGCTTTCTTCTGCTTTATCAATGTCA